CTACAGGTTGAAAGAGTTGACTTTACAAACACCACCGTGTGGTAAAACACTATGAATATGAATAAGATATTAATCTCTGCTTGACTTGTCTCTCGTCCTGCAGATCTAGATCGTCTGAGCAGGAGGAAGAGTTTCGTGGACACAATCTCCCTTCAAGTGGACATCGTGTCCAGCAGCCTTCCAGACAAGGTCGGTTCTTTAGACTGAAGCCGATGCTTCACGTCTTAAAGCTGCATTCTATCTAGTGTCCACCAGGGGCGACTCCTCTGGTTGTATAGAAGTCTATGAGAAAATGACTCTACTTCTCTCTTGATTTATTACCTCAGTAAACATTGTAAACATGAGTTCATGGTCTCAGTCTCTAGTTTCATGTAGAGGAGGTGATTGAGTAGCTTCAGGTTTTGTTGAAAGTCTTTTTCTTTGATCCTTCTGTGTTTTTAGTCGCAGCTCGCTGAGGAGATCACCTTCGAGACCCTGAAGAAGGCCATCGGTGAGATCAGACACACGTTCAAGAGACGTTGTTCTTTAAGCTTCATCTTTTCTTGTGGACTCGCTGAAGAGTCTCCGGCAACACAAACTCAATATCGGCTTTTTGTCAGGAGCCAGTAGCCAAAAACATTCACAGTAATGTCCGCTGACTTTAAGTTGATGCTCAGCTCACATGTGGCCTTTTTATTACATAGCGAATGCATTTTACTACTTTGACATCAATATATAGTAGGAATATATTCTTCTGTCTTGGTGTCGGTATTGTTGTCGTCATAACGTAATGAAGTAAACTGTGACTGAAGATGAGAGAGTGAGACATGATGAGGAGGAGGAGGAGGAGGAGGAGTTTAGCTTTGTTCCTCCTGTGTTCCAGACACCACCGGTCTGGAGGAGCAGGAGAGGGAGAAGAGGCGTCAGGTGATGGAGAAGTTCCAGAAAGCTCCGTTTGAGGAGATCGCTGCTCATTGCGAGTCCAAGGTAGAAATAAAACTACTCAATGAGAAGCAATCCAGTGAAGTTATGACTATTAATGTTTCATAAACTCTGATCATCATTTGTTTCTGCAGGCGAACATGTTGCACGACCGGCTGGCACAAATCTTCGAGCTTACGATTAGGTGAGTGATCTGTGTTTTACGAGAACGTTTTAGGTTCTCGGTGAGACTTTTAGACTCTCGTTATGACTGAAGCGTAGCTTTCTGTACGTTATGTGGTTGCTGTGCTGCTGGTGTTTGAGTTCATCCTGCCAGCTTCAGCTGCACATTGTGATGAATGCTAACATAGCATGCTAACAGGCTAAACATGAGGAAGGACTAAATGTCAGCATGTTAATTAAGCATGCTAATATGCTAATCGTCGACATGTAAGATGATAATGTGTGTTTTCAGCTGGTGTTTGAACTTGTGCTTTTATGAGTTTGCTCATTTGTTTATCTGTTAACTGTTTTCTGTATTCAGCTTCATGTTGAGATGACGTTAATAAACACACTAAAGTCCACTTCAGACTGATGACAGCAGAGTCTGATCATTGGTCAGGATAGTTGTGACTGTGGAGAAGAACGTCACACAAACACACTACAGAACATCTGGACGATGCCTTTAAAGACAAGCTGAGGGCGAGATGTCCGACAGTCAAAAGGATAAAACTAAACGTCTTTAGGGAACAAAGTAAACAACATCAGATCTGACTGTAGTAAAGTCAGCATCCATCAGTTCCTCCATCTGATTGGGAATATGGAAACCCTTAATTAACATCTTGCCCCCCCCCCCCAGGCCTCCACCCAGCCCGTCCGGAGTGGTCTCCATCTCATCGGGTCACACTCAGCACCAGTCCGTCCCCGTCTACGAGATGAAGTTCCCAGACCTGTGTGTGTACTGATCACACCTCCACCACAACAGCTGGACTTCAAACAATGATCAGAAGATAACCACTCACTCACACTCTGTGTCTGTGTGTCCTCGACTCAGACCAGCACAGAGGTGTCACACAGCAAAACAGACATCTGAGATTTGATATGATAAAATGTAACTTCCTTAATCTCACGTAGAACCTCGGCCACAGGCTGAAAACGCTACTTCTAAATCCCCAATCTCCTGTCCTCTTCTTAAAATACTGGTCTTCTTGTTAGAAGTGGAGCTCCAGCCCCTCCGGCTCTACGTCAACTGATTTGCTGCACATTATTTCCCGACTCAAACCCCTGGAACTAAACTAAACCCAAGAGTCGGCAAGAACAAAGAGAAGTGAAGCGCTTCCACTCTAACGTCAGTGTACAGAAGTCCAATCTCATGCTGCTACCCAGCATGCCGCTGGTGCAGCTAAAGCTTCACACCTTGTACATACGCCGCAAGTAAAACCAGTTCTAGGCCTAAACGTTGCGTCTGGTCTTAAGTTGCGATGCTTCTTCTTCTTCTTCTTCTTCTTCTTCTTCTTCTTAACAAGCGTCTGCTCTTATTTTCAGTAGGTGTCGGTGTCACAAATATGTAGAAATGTACAATATATTAGTGCCAGAGAGAGGAGAACTGGGATAACTTCACAGGTGGTAGAGAGATTTAGGGCTCACTGCTTCACGGCCGGTCCAACCTGTTCAGTCCAGTTCTGTCGTGTGTGTGTGTGTGTGTGTGTGTGTGTGTGTGTGTGTGTGTGTGTGGAAATGAGTTGAAAGCAATACGTGCTGTGAACTGCTCGGCTATTCGGCCAACGCTTGTTTCAGTGGAAAAGTCTCGCTCACGGTCGCTGGTTCTGATCCAGAATGTTGCGTTCCAGAGAAACTGTAAAAGTCAAATATCCAGACTGGACTGTTTGAAACCTTCGGGAACGTTACCGTGCTCTTGGTTCATGGTCGGGTTCTGTTCACCAGCATCTTCAATGTTTTCCATTTCTTGCTCTCGTCTGTTGGTTTTAAGTCCCAACGAGCTCAAAGCTCACGTGGTCTCTGAGCTGCTGGACGTCCTGCTGAGAGACGTCAGGAGTGTCGGGTTAGCAGCCGCGTTCCTCAAAAATGAACCAGTCAACTAACGGGGAGAGATCGCAGAAACATGCACATATATTGTCAGGATCTTGTAGATAATGTTCATCACCAGCCTGATGTTTTTCAGTGTAAATAAATGTGGTTTGTTTCCAGACAGACGTTCTTGCATTGGATAGAATATTTGACTTCCAACGTCTTGAAAAGAAATCCGGCATGTTGTGAAAATAAACTTAAACTGCAATATACTGAAGAGTTCCATCGAGGGTTAATAATCTAATGTGCGTTAGAAATACGTTCATGTCGGATTCATGTATCTGGAATTAGTTCCTGCACTTTTGTCTCAACGTATTACGCCACTTCTTAACATAAGGAAGATATTCCAGCACCATAATCAGACTGATATCTTTAGCTGATGTCTTTCACAGCGGGGACGTCTCTGTCTCTTTCCTCAAGATAGAATTTGTATTAGCTTTTTTGACGACAATGAAGGAAGTATAGAAATGTATAAATCCACAACAACAACAAACGGTGTCTCAGTTGCACTTGTTGCTGTTTCTCCATCACTACTTTAATGGATGGACGATAACGTGCTTAACCCACAAACTAACCTCTGATTGGTTGATTATGTCTACAAACAGCTGAGATGACCACCGGGGGGCGCTACGCCACACCCCAGAGACGTGAGCAGCGATTCAGGCCTGATCTGCCCCCTAGTGGATACACCTTTAAATCTCCCATATACACATAGTCAGCCAAGTATATGAAGAAAGCAGCTTATGTGTTAAAATCGAGTATTTAAGCGCTTATATTGAATGTGATGATAATGTAGCTGTTTGGCTGCAGAACTCTACCAGCAGCATTAAATATATATGTATTTCTGTGGAGTTAGATTTTGCACGCTGATTTTGAACAGTCGGTGCGTCCACCATGATGCGTCTCCATTCCCACCTGCATCTTTCAGCTCCTCTCAGCTTCTAAACAGACTAACTGACCTCGTTCCGCTTCCATGAGTTAAAAATCTAAAACTACTGAATGTTATCAGAGGCGGCGAGCGGCTCTGTGGGGGAGTTTCATAGTAAAATAAGAGACCAGCAGCAGCTCATCAAAGTTAACCCCCCAATCCACCTTCGGACACCAGGCGGGGACATTTGGAGGATTGAATCATCTTTGCTTATCAGTCACCACGAGGCCACGATTCCTTCTCAGAATGGGGTCAGAGGCGGCGTTTCTGGAGATGGTTTTCATATCTGCTGCAGCTGTGATCTGTGATAACAGATGGTTATCAGTGTTTCCTCTGATCACAGCTCAGTGATGGAAGGAAAAGCATCCCCGCAGTCGGAGGCAGACGCCTGCTGCCATCGTTGGGTCTGAGCAGCTGGTTCAGGCTGAAGGCCGGTGGTTCCCGTCTCACTCCCAGATGATTGGTTTGTTTGTGCAGAATCAGATGGTGAACGATGGAGAAATCAGATGGTGAACGATGGAGAAATAAGATGGAAAAGTGGATGAAAGAGACGAGGAAGAAGGGATGTTTGTGGTTCAGATGGTTTTTGTACGTCAAAGGTTGTCGAGCGCAGGTTTGTGTTGCCGAACGAGAGAGGTCGGCCGAGTGTTCTTTGAAATCACCAACGTGAGCGCCGATACATCTGGCTGGTATCTGGTCTTCATCAGAAGCCGTTTTCTGTCCTGGCTTTGAATCACACGTTGTGTGAGCGTAGGACGGCTGGACCTGGATCAGTAAAGAATGCACGTCGATGCAGCAGACGGTGAGTCTCAGCAGCTGTAAATAACGTCCGTACAGTTCAAGTGGAGGATGAGTGGAGCCCGTTCACTTGCATCGCTTCGGGTCTGAGGGTCCTGTGATCAGTAGGGTTAGCAGAGGTTAGCAGAGGTTAGCATTGGTGCTGTCCTCTTAGAGTATAAGTAACGTTAGCCGAGTTAGCAACAAATCACAAGATTCATTTAGTAGCTTTTCTGGAGTTTTCATCAGATGGACTTTAACAGAAGTCATGGACAAGACATTTAGTCTTTTCAGCTATGTCTCTGCAAACCCATGACGAGAAGGGTGTTCTGGGTAACTACCGCCTCTAAGTCTCAAGGATGCATCAAAGGTACGCGTCACGTGAGCTGATTGGTTGATTGGTACGGGTGTGTAATAAAAGATCACTTTCACCAGCGTGCAGCCCGAAGAACATGTTTCAGCCTCTAAACGTAAACCTCAAATCCAGTTCGGTCCGTTTAGTGGTGAAGATTACAGAATAACGACATGACCCCCAGCTCAATCCTGTCCCATAACGCTTCACCTGAGACGCACCGTGTGTGTTGGCAGGTATGCAGCTGTGACCGTGATCAGACAGTCATCCAGATCGGAGCTTAATTGCAGGTTTAAGTGGAGTCTTAGTCTTCTTCTGTTCTGAATGTGAGGTTTAGCTCGCTGCTAGACATGCTAACAGCTAAACATGCTAACAGCTGCAGATGTTTGAATAAAGGGCAGAACTCTGAGCCTCACAGAAATAAAGATGCGTTGACGTTTCCCTCTGTATGAAACGATATCCTCCACTGAACGCGGTCTGTCTTCTGTGCATATCGACGCTGCGTAAACGTCTGAGCTTTACATGCAAACTCTTATGATCTCATATCATAGCTGTACTTAGAAACATGCATCATGTGAACGAACTGCATGATATCTCAACAGTCAGAATCTTTTTCACAAAATCAGAATTTATCTTCAAAGTGATGTGGACCGAGCGCAGTGAACACGCCACTGATCTACAGCCTGGAGGACATGATCACTTCCTTTATGAACGTGTCATTATAGCAGTAAATCATATATTTTTGTACATGTTATGCATCATGTGTGGATACGTTGTTGCCTGGTAGAGATTAGGAGGCCGCTCGTCGATCTCGTTTATTGAGACCAAGACGGACGCTGATTTATTTTCACTTTCACACTGTTGTTGTTTACTATGAAGTCGGTTCAGGGTTTCAATGGGATCGTGCAGTTCTTCTCAATACGGGAGAAATGCTCCCGTTTATCAAAATGTTACTTGATTATTGTTTTATTATAGAATCCATTATGTCATTAAAATGTGCTGAGAGATGAATTATTATATCATAGTTATTTTTGCACAGATGAAGTGAATGAATCATTGAGTTCTTTCTTCAGGAAGTTGCAGCTTCGGTTTTAAGAATAAAAGACTTCCAGACGTCTCTGATCGAGTGAATCTGGACCTGAAGCTGCAACTTCCTGTCAGGAGTCAGAGCCGACCGATGAAGTTTAAACAGAACTCAATCATCTGAATCATCATCGCTGTGACTTGTGATGAGCTTAACTTCATCTAAACTTCACTTTATCTCCATCAGTCGTTTGAATGGCAGCAGATGTATTCAGATGAAATGCTGTTAATAAGCGTCAGAATGAAATATGTTTGCACTTTGACCTCTGTGTACCTGGTACTATAGCAACAATGATGAGCGTGTGGTACCCCCATCTTCAGAGCTCTTCTCTCCCCGATGTGCAGTCTGTGGAACGTTGTTAGAATGACGTCATGTGAACGTGAGGAAAGTCCTCCTGAGCGGTGACCAGAGTCAGCATCAAGTCTTAATGTCTTAATATCTGTAAGAGCAGAGATTAGATCCTCTCCCTGCTGACCTGCCTTACTTCAGGATGACGGACTTTCTTCAGTTCACCGGCTGAGTTCTGGATAAAAATGAACAGAAGAACAGAAGAGGAAGAGAGCTTCTGAAGATGTTCTCTTATGTTTGATGTAAATGTTTGTATTTGTGTGCCGGTTGTAGAGATTCACGTTGTCTGTTCAGCCTTCACAGCGACGCACCGCTGAAGCTCAGCGAGGACTTTAACCACTAGACAGCGCCGAGGTTCTGCTGCAAGCGTCAGTCTGACCTCCGCTTCCCTCGACGTGTTTGAATCACTCGCTTCATTTCATCCGTGTGTCATCATTCATTACAAAATCAGCAAATCCTCAAACTATTATCGATTAACCGACAAATAATGTTCAGTGTTAACGTGTTCAGTCCTTAAGTTCACCTCTAATCCTTCATGAGTCATCTGGATGAAGTCTGAAGACCTAAACGTGGAACCAGCAGCAGTGAGATCAGCTGTTCAGCAGAACCTCAGCGCTTCATCAGATTCTGTTTCACAGTAAAGTGTTGGTGGAGATCGATGTTCCAGAATCTAATAAAACGTTTCTATCAACTGAGCTGTGACGTCTTCTTTACTTCTTTCAAAGGAAAACAGACGAATGTTTTATTTATGTTCATTTTAATACATGTGCTTTTTGTTCCTTTGAAGAAATCAAAGTAAACATTCGATTCTTTTTAAAGTAATTTATTTAAATTACAACTTTATTCATCGGGAACAAAATGATCTGATAATAAAAGCTGCCTTTGAAAAGTAATGCATTCGCTTCTAGTTTCCCTCTTCCTCCTCTTCTTCCTCTTCTCCTCCTCCCTCCTCTTCCTCTTCTTTCACCCCGCTCCCTCCCGGTCTCTCTGCACTCGGCCTGTGGTTGTGGGTTTGAACCCCGCTGTGTGTCGGTGGATCTCTGCCCTCCTCACTGGAGGGAGGAGGAAGATGATGAGGAGGAGGAGGAGGAGGAGGTGTGGAGCTGCCAGACGATCCAGCTGGAGGATCCTTTGAGTTCTGGTGGTCCTTCAGGTCGGAGCTTTCATCACTGCAGACAGACGTTTGTGTTTTTATGTTGAACTGAACTTCAATTCTGTCAAAATGTGTAAAAAGCTTCTAAAACAGAGAAATATTTGATGTTTTATATTTTAATATTTTCTTTTATTTAAAACAAACTTAAAGGAACTGAGTTAAAAAAGACGGAAGAGTTCCACAACTAATCACAGCGTTGAGGTTCTGAACTCTTTCAGTGGATTGAAGACAGAAATAGAACCGAGTTGATTCAATCAGAGGTGGAGGAAGTACTCTGATACCAACAGTCTCACATTCAAAATAGAGTCAAAGTACAAAAATATACATGTAAAAAGTACTCCTTATGCAGAATATCATAATCTATTATGTAGTGATGTGTTAATGAGTTAGTTGTACTTTGATCTATAATCAGAGGATTACAGTAACTAAATCCTGCAGCATAAAGAAAGCAGCACGACTAAAGAGAACTCAGTCGACTAAAACCTGAATGATCAGTGGTCTAATCGATGAAGAGGAGGCAGCTTCACTGCTTCATTCATTAGCCGGGTTTCATTCTAACTGATGTTAAACAAGGACTGAAATAAAAAATGTTTTATCCACAACACAAAACTTTATTTTGCCGACCGTCCTCAAACATTTGCTGTTTTTTAAAGTCACTAAAAAGAAAGAACCTGAGAGAACTTTAGCCTGATCATTGTCCAGTGAAGTTAAAGATGATGGTGAAACAATCTTTCACTTGCTGAAACAAGCAACAAATTTGGCACAAATTATCTTCAAGACCTATATTTTCAAAAAAGCCCGGTATCCACGATGGAAAAACAATATGGCCGCCATTTTCCAAGATGGCCGCCAGCAAATGCCAATATATGCGATTTACAGATATACAGGGCTAATTAGATCTTAACTAGAACTACAGTTAGCACTACAGTTAGTAGACTACAACTACAGCAAGTACACTAATTAGCCGACACTGAACCCCATGCTGAGTCTCACAGCAATGATGTCACCAGTGTGCTCTGGTTGTGCTTTGACATCACTCTTTTATTAACAGAATGTCACCTCATATAGATCGATCAAAACATTTTAATTTGGATCAAAAAGATAGCTTGGACTACTACTTCATCCAGCTGAAACCTAATCTCTGATCAAAGAACGACAAAAAGTGTGAATTCTGAGTAACAAATGGCCGCCATCTTGAAATTTCTCGTGTCAAAATACATACATTTTGATGTCTAGATTAAAATATGTCCAGCCATTCAATTTCTACACTGAAAAACCTATTCACATTTTCGGCGACGGCCATCTTGAAAAATCTTGGATTTTCAGGTGGATACCGGGCTTTTCTGAAAGAGCAGTTCCTAGGCATTATTCATGCCAAATGTAGTGCTTGTATCACCAAGTGAAAGATTGTAATGGAATGTTGACTTAATCTGCCGCACTATAGAGGGTCTGTGGGATCACATGACGTGTATTATTATCGTATAACGGAGTAAAACTGACTGTGATTTAACGTCTCCTCTCACCTGTTGTGCACTTGGAGAGGAGGAGGTGTGTTAGTGTGCGTCTCCTCCTCCCCCACGTTCACATCAGAGCTTCCTCCCTGCGCCTCCTCGCTCTCCTCGCTGGACTGAGGGGAAAGCTGTGGTTTGGGGGGCCGGCTGGCCCGGCGGCAGGGGGGGACGGGGCTGCGGCACTGCTGCTGCTGCAGGCTGTGGTTGAAGTGGGACGCTGCCATACACTCCGCGGTGGCTCTGTCACACACACACTGCAGCTTATCGCACACGGTGACGCCCTGACCTGGTGAACGAGGGGTTAAGGATTAGATCAGTAGTCTGGTTTATCGGGTTTGTACTACGGCACGTTAGTATGACGGCATGTTAGTATGACGGCACGTTAGTATGACGGCACGTTAGTATGACGGCACGTTATTATATTATGACACCATATTAAAGAAAAGAGATTATAAAGTCGTACATTTACGAGAAAAACTATAAATAATACGTTTCTGAGATAATAGTCATACATTGACCAACAAAACTACACATTTAACAGAAAAAACTAAATAATATTACATTTTCTCTGAGATTATAAAGTCATACATTCACTATAAACCTGGACCTCCTGCTGACGTAAGAGGAACTGTGACTCAAAGCTTTCCCACATCGTCTTCAGCAGCTGCAGTGTGCACCTGCGGTGTAACAAACATCAGCGTCCTCGTGTTGCCAGCTGACCTCCCGTGTACTCACACCGTGGTTTCCCGCTCTCACAGGACACGTGAGCGCTGAGCTTCCTCTCCGAGCGGCAGCCCATGGAGCTGATCTGCTTCAGGCAGCACCGGTGGAAGAAGCAGCACCTGATGGAGAGCAGGGTTCCTCGTCAGCCTCACAGTGTGCACAGATCAGCTCACACAGAGGAGGAACATTCATCGGTGCTCCATGAATCCAGCAGCTCCCTCAAAGAATACTTTTATATATTAAATTAGACTCTCTGTCAGTGAAAGAACAACTTTGTAAATGTTTTATGTGAAAGTGAAAAGCATGAAAACATGTTTGTCAGACCTTGACGGATGTGTGTTTGTGTGTCTTAGACCTCATCCATCAAACCCTTCTTTCCCTTTTCATACCAAAATCTACCCTGCACCTCTCTCCCTCGGCTGTAACGCGTCATCACTCCTGCTGACCTGTCCAGCTGGTCCTGGGGTCGACCCCCGCCCTCCTGTCCGCAGTAGCAGCCGTACATCTCGTACTCGTGCGGGCATCGACCCGTCAGGCAGTGGAGCATCTCCCCCAGAGCCGGCATCTCCCGCCGGGCTCGCCCATCGCTGCCGTACAGGGTGAAGGAGCGACTGCACTCTTTTGGAGGAAACACAGGTTTTACACATTCAAACTCCTCAAGAGACGCACAACGGGATTCAGACGCCTTCAAAATGCGCTTAAAGCTAAATAATCGAAGGGCAAATAGATGGAGTTAGTGTCTGACCTTTGCTGTCTGGATGAACTTGTATGTCGCTCAACCCGACAGACTCCAGCAGCGACCAGGCGAAGAACGGCACCGTCCTCTTCTGAGCCGCTCCCCAGTCTGCCAACGGACAGACGAGACGTTCACAGAGATCCGGTTAACATCGGGTTAAAGGAACAGCGTGTTCGCTTTAGTGCCATCTAGTGGTTTGTGGCAGATTGCAACCCCCCTTTCAAAGCGGGTTGGAGGACTACGGTGGCCTTCAGGTATCTTTATCTACTCTTATCAATACTCTGCTTTTTCTACACGACTAAATATTTATTTTTAACAAATGTATAGATTTTGTTTTTTTTAATAATTCAGAATATGATTTTTCTTAATCCTTCGTCTCAGCGAGCAGAGAAGTTTACAAGAACAAAGTTTTGGACACTCGGTCATGCTGTGCTTGTGTAAGCAGCAGCGGTGGTCGACTGAATTAGGATTCACTTTTGTTTACATGTTCACAGACGCATTGATCAAATATTGGCTTTTGACTCGTACATATTGTTTTGGACGTACAGCAACAATTCGAGCATCCTTCACGTCAGCACAGCGGACAGTCACTCCGCCTAAATGTTCCACACCGGTCCTCTAAAGATGTGTGCTATTCTGACGGACGTGCACGGCGCTACAGGGCATCAACACTGCAGGGACTGGATGGTGTTAGACAGGAACTCAGACGTGTTAAATGCTGTCGGTGTGCTCGTCAAAGCCTCGGGCTCTTATTGTGAAGCAGCTGAGAGAGAGAGAGGTGCCGGGCCTCCGCTGTCGGCTGGTGGAACCCGAAGGCTCTTCAGAAAGCGCTTTGAGAGTCGAGCTCACGCCCTCATGCGTGATGGTGAAGTGAGCGCTGTGTTTAGAACACTTTCCCCTCTTCACTCTGTCAGACAGAGCTTTGTGGGGACTGCAGCCGTTATCTCTCTCCAGAGACTCAGAGATGATGCCTCTCAGGACACAGGAGCAGCTGCACCACCGTCGGCTCCAGTACTAAGCGTGTGTTATTGTGTGGCGTTGGTGTTGTAAAGTTTAGATTCACTGAAGGGAAACGGACTCTGACACCAGCTCGATGGAGGAGGAGGAGGTTATTGCGTCCTACAATACGTGGAGCCTCTAGTAGCGCTGGTTAGGGTCACAACCTCCTCACTCGCTGGCTGAGAGGGAGACTCGAGCCTCGCTGTCTGTCTTTAGACTTCTCTAGCACGCTGGTTTAGCTGCTGTCTGCTCTAAACATCCAGTTTACTCGTCTCTGTTGGGAAGATGTGCGTTCACTCTTAACGTCCATTATGTGCTGATCACTCTTCTGTCATTCGGTCACCTCCTCTAACGTCTGCGTCATTGACTTTATTGAACCCGTGAGAGAAACCGGCTTCATTTATTCATTTCATTTAGATTTCATTGAACCTGACGAAGCGAAGAGCGAAGACGCCGAACGGGGGAAGAGACCCGACGGCGTCCTGGAGGATTCGAAGAAAAGAGGTGAGAAAGAAACAGCGTGTATTTGTTTGTATGTTTAAACTGCGAACCATCTGCGTCTTTCTCCTGCGAACTGTCTGCCAGCTCCTCCTCCTCCTCACGAGGAGCTTCCTCTGCTGTTTCAGACTTTCCGTGCGGCTCCTCTTCAGATCCGACCTCGGCCGTCGCCGTGAGCGAGGTCACCGCTGTGGTGCGGGGGGAGGCGTTGACCTCTGACCTCGGCGTCTCCCGAGAGACGCTTCTCGTTGACGTCCACGTGGAGGATGTGGACTGTTGAGCTTCCTGTCCTGAAGCAGGAAGGTCAGAGATTAATGAAGATCACTGGTTATTAAATATCGTGGATGGACATTCATTTGAATTTTCTGAACATTTCTGCTTTATTTGGATGGAAATGTGACTTCTGGCTCAAGAGGATTAATGTTGAGCCAAATGAATTGTTTTTCAATGTAGTTCAAATTAAACCTAAATAAAGTTGAGAGGAACAGAAGTCGAGTCTAGTGGAATCCTTCCCAAACAGATCTCTTTGCTAAATGTAAGTCAGTTCTTCACTAACCTCTACACGCATCTCTTGGTACAGTTTTTTGGGGTTTCGTTGCGTCCACTCTGACACAACGGAGGTGAACGACATGATGTTTCTGGTTCTCACATCGTGAAAAACAGATTTGTCTTTTGAGAATCAGAGTCCTGTTCCTCCAGATCATCCACAGCTTCACGGCACTATTCCAGTGTGTTGTGGGGGTTATCCACAGTGATCGTCTGTGAACATGTTGCTGCAGATTTATTTTAAAAACCTTTTGTTTTAAGCAACAATCTAACTTCCATTCTGCTCCATTGTACCGAGGAGGATGCAGAGATCTCAGAGAGAAACATCTCAGTGAGCTGCACAGAGAGATAGAAGCTGAACTCTCTGCATGTGTAGATGAGCGTTAGAGACACGCGACCACATGATGAACTCGTGCAGATTAAAGTGATTCTTTCTGCAACAGATGCAAATTTCCAAGCCGGTGCTGAACGTTAACTGATTCCACTCATCCACCGCGTTAACCATGTGCTCATTTATTTCAGAACATTTCTCCTGAAGAGCTTCCTCACCTCGGCTCAGCGGACGCAGAGGACCAGCGGCGGGTGCGAGCGGCCTCACGTCTTCCTCCCGTGAGGCGGGAGTCGCGGGGGAGACGGCAGCGGTTCTCTCTGGGCCGGTTTCTGGTGGTGAGCTCGTTGTTGAGAGTCTTCTGGTCTCCCTGGGACTCACTGTGGGGCCTGAGGAAGAGGCTGTAATCACACACACATTACTGGGTGAGGGGAGAGATCCTGAGAAACAGACTGACTTTATCCCAGACGATACGAAGCTGTCACAGGAGAACTTTCTGGAACAAACCAGCGGCCCTTCAGTAGCCCTACTGTGTGGTCCTCGCCGACGCCTCGCTCCCCTCCCCCTCCTCACTCTCCTCCCCCTCCTCCCCCTCCTCTCTCCCCTCCCTCTCCTCCTCGCTCCCCTCACTCCCCTCCCTCTCCTCTCTCCCCTCCCTCTCCTCTCTCTCCTCTGAAGCTGAAGCTGTAGATGTAAAGGTTACACCTCAGAACACAATGACCGTCAGACATGAAGACATGAAGACAATAAGACACGAAGACAATGAGACATGAAGACAATAAGACAATAAGACATGAAGACAATGAGACATGAAGACAATGAGACATGAAGACAATAAGACAATAAGACATGAAGACAATGAGACATGAAGACAATGAGACATGAAGACAATAAGACAATGAGACATGAAGACAATGAGACATGAAGACAATAAGACATGAAGACAATGAGACATGAAGACAATAAGACATGAAGACAATAAGACAATAAGACATGAAGACAATAAGACATGAAGACAATAAGACAATAAGACAATAAGACATGAAGACAATAAGACATGAAGACAATGAGACATGAAGACAATGAGACATGAAGACAATAAGACATGAAGACAATGAGACATGAAGACAATGAGACATGAAGACAATGAGACATGAAGACAATGAGACATGAAGACAATAAGACATGAAGACAATAAGACATGAAGACAATAAGACAATAAGACATGAAGACATGAAGACATGAAGACAATAAGACAATAAGACAATAAGACATGAAGACATGAAGACTTTCCACTTGATTAAATCAGACGTTACAGAACAACACTTGTATGTGTCTGCTGCGCCCTCGGGCCTCCTCTCCTCTCAGAGCCTCGCTGTGTAATTACATCGAGAGGAAAATAAGCACTTTAAACAGTTACATGTTCTTTACTTCACAGCAGGGACGGGACACTTTCATCTAATTATTCTGTGTGTGTGTGTGTGTGTGTGTACGCTCTTATACTAACTGACATCAATCTAAATGAAGTCACTTATAAACCTCTCGTCTGAATCTCTTCTTTCACTTGAAGAACAAGTTTGTTGATTTTCTTTTTACTGAAAGCAGAAACTGAAGCTCTGCTGCTGTTAGCTGATGAAATCTACAGCGACCAACGTTATTATGAGATGACCGAGTGTTCATATCAGCGCTGCACACAAGGTAACAGTGAGGTGATCATCTGCAGAGCATTGTTGCTTCTGGTCTTTTTATTGGGTTTGTTGAGTAGGAAGTTATTAAACATATTGATCTTGATCACAAAGGGATCCGCCGTACTGTAGGAGTCTCGTATGTTCGCTCTGATCTTGACTTGAAGACGACATGTTTAATCGTGTCACCAATCTATTTAAATGTGTAAGTGATGTAACGAACGGACCCGTCTGAGAGGCTGGTGTGTTCTGTGCTGACGGTGTGGAGCTCCCCTTCCCCTCGTCGGACTCCTCTGTGGCTGCGGTCGGTGCTGCTGCTGCTTCAGCAGTCGTAGTTTTTAACACAGTCAGCATATCTGTGACTGAGGAGGAGGAAGAAGAGCATTAAGAGGATCAGAGTTTCATACATTTATGAGTCGAAGTCGACAAAGTGAACCAGCATGTCAACACTTTTCTTCTTAATTGAGTTTTTACATCATTTCTAATCTCTCATGGAGGCTTGTGTTGAGTCTCAGATATTAATACAGAACAATAAAACAAACGGGCTGATAAGAAGCACTGATCAGTAGTTATGTATTATGCAGTATTCTCCTCTCTATTCACCAGCTCTGCTCCTATGTTGCTGTTTATTGACACTGAGCACTAACGGCAGAAGTTTCACAATAAAAGCTAAGCAGGAAAGTAAGAGAGCCACTGGAAGTCTTTTATTGTGAAACACCTGCAGGAAGTGGTGTCACTGATATCAGCCGAACACATGATGCAAATAAAACTCCACCAGAAAGAATCCGTGAACGAAACGGTGTTTATGAAGACGGAGAGCAGAGTGGTGAGTGAACATCTGGACAACATGGAGGACGTGTTGAGACTCTGATCCACAGAGGGAGGCTTCTTCATAACGCATGTTAAGATGTACTTCTAATAAATAATACTGTCTCGTTCCAAACAAAGGCCTGTCTAAATCTGTCAGACTTTGTGTGAATAAAGAAATCCTCAGAATACTAAAATTAAACTGAATCATTGAGAAATTGTAAGATCCTGCAAAGGTTTGCTGAGTTTAAACTCGCCATGCTCATCTGGAGCTCCCTGCTCCCCTTCATCATCTTCATCTTCATCATCTTCTCCGTCTTCCTCTTCTTCAGATGATCTTATTTTCTCAGACGGACTGATTTGTGGTTTTGCTGATGTCAGCGATGACGTGACGATGACTAAGCATCAGAGACATGAGATCAAATGAATAATAACTCACAATAAATGTCAGATATACAGTACATCACCATTATCCTCCATAAAACATGAAGATACATTTAAGATGTACAATGTACCTTCAGTCCTATTAACATCTTCCTAAAGGGATTCTTAGTGTTTTATTATTTTATATATATTACAGTATTCTTTACAATGATTTTGGTATTTCTTGTTTGTTTCTGTTTTGTAATGTTGAATGTAAAAATAAATCTATATGAAAAAATCTAAAGAAGCAAAGTAAAAGTTAAGGTTTAACCACCTTCCTCAGAGGACTCCTCCAGACCAGCAGGCGTCGTCTCTCTGGGAGTTGTAGTCCTAAGAACAGTTGTAGTCCGATTGGAAGTCGCTGGCGTTGAAGTCGTCTCCGTGTCTCCGCTCAGTGGAGACGGGTCACTCGGCTCTGATTCTGCTTCGCTCAGCGTTTCTCTGTCGAGGACGAACAGAACTGGATCTGCATCAGAGAAAGTATTGAATGAGTGTGTGTGTGTGTGTGTGTGTGTGTGTGTGTGTGTGTGT